CCCCAAAACCCCAAAACCCCAAAACCCCAAAACCCCAAAAATATTCAAAAAAATTGGGAATTTATCTATTTTATAAAATATTAATGGAAGAGGAAAAGTTCATTAAAGAGGCTGAGATCTATTACAAGCTTTCAGAGGAGATTAAGCAAAGCAATCCGCTGGTAGCTTATTTCGTCAACCTCCATGGTCTCAGGATGTTAGCCAGGAATGTTGATAAATAAGAAAATCCCTTTAGAAAGAGTCAAAAAGGCTCTACTAGAAGAAATGAAACCTACTTTAGATATCTCTAATAAAAACGAAGCAAAGGAGATTTTTGAAGAATTTGTGTTCACAGCATTAGCTTATGCTGATAAGAAGGAGAAGGATAAATCAGAAAAAGTTACACAGGAAACAGCAAAGAATTTTGCAACAATTGCTCTTCTCATTGAAGTTATGGAAACCTTCGAATGACTTAGTGAAGAGTGGCAAGAGAGAAAGCAATATTGCATCTTTAAAGCAGGTCATATTCAACAATGTCTAGCAAAGAAGAAAACTCCTAAGAGAGGTATGTGCTCTTTACTCTGTTCGTTTAAGGAATTTGGCGAAAAAAATCTCCGAAAGATTGTTTATTTTTCTTTAGGAAATCCTTTTAAAGAGAAAGACTTGAAGAAAGATCATCATCCCTTAATTCCACTTCCTCAAGACCCTCCTGATGAAGGAGGTATCAGAGCTGCTCTACTACCTTCAAAAACCACCCAGTTCCGGAAGCCATTGGATTCTTTAAAAGAGCCAGAGGAAAGGAAATTCAAGGACAAAGACAAAGTGAATATTAACAAGGTTGTAGATTTTTATGCATCAACTTTCGGTGATATCCCAGGTGGTGAGTAAGTAACCTGCTTTGCAGTTCGGCCAACTCTTTTCGAATGTTTTTGACACCAATCTAGCAGCGCAAATGATCATATTAATAAAGATGGAGGATATCCTCAAATAGACTTTTTCGACCAAAATATGTCTCAGAGGAGATCGAAGGGTTTTACTGTTGTCAGTGGTTCAAGAGATATGAATTCTAGGGCAATTGGTCATAAGAAGGGGATTAAAAATGGAAAAGAAATTAAGAAATGAGTCCAAGCAGCTATGAGCAATCTCACATATTATAAGCCTGATCTAGCAATTGAGGAGTTAGAGAATGCTCTTGAGATGCTTAAGGATGAATTATAAATTCAATATATCGGAACTTAAAGGGGTTTTGGGGTTTTGGGGTTTTGGGGTTTTGGGGTTTTGAAGGTAGTAGAG